GTGTGTGTGTGTGTGTAGCAGGATACCTGCAGTGGAGCATGTTGTGTGAAATCCCCTCGTAGAGGAATGGCAGCTCCACACCCAGCCAGCATGGGCTGGGGATTTGCATAGGCCTAGAGTCACCCTGTCACTGATCCGCTTTTAATTGGGTGTGACGATGAGAACTTTGGAGCCTGAAGAGGGGAGGTGGAGGTGTGGGGACAGGGGGGGAGTTGCGAGTTGAGTAATTTCATAATCCAGTTCAACAAGTTATTCAATGTAATTATTTTCAAAACATTTCAGAGTTTGTTGTCTCCCCCTGCAGCGCTGTCTCCTGGCCTGGCAGCGCTAACTGTGGGCTGTGACTCAGGGAATCTGGGCTCCTTATCCCGGGTCCAGCTGCTCCTTCTGGACCGACTGGAGCCTGAGGCACCGCCGAGTCCCTTCGGTCAGGAAGAAGAGCTGTTGCTGCTGCAGGACTGGTCAGATCTGAGGATGCAGTATGATCCAGGTTTGACTTCAGCAGGTGGAGGTTTTCAGGAGAAAGATGCTTCAACAAATAAATAAATAAAACTCAAAATAAAGCACATTTCATATTGATGGCAAAATTCCCATTCCACATTTAACAATTATAATGATGAAACTTCTCTATGCAGAACCAATGTCCATTTCTCAGTAAGAAGGTGAACTTAAAGACTTCTATTAGGATATTGTGGGAGGGAGTGATGTCCATAGGAATTTAAGGGAAAGCAACAAACAGTTTAATACCAGGATCAAACAATCATCAATCCAGCAAAAACATCCAGATACACTTGATACAAGTAACTTATTAATCCCAGGTGAAAGTTGAGCCAAAAGAGGAAGTTCACACTCAAAAGACAAACTTTGAGTCAGCATCAAGTTTCCTTTCTAACTACTGAAACTCATTTCCATAACTGTGATTTCTTTGGGATTATGTGAAATCTCCGTAAATTGCGTTTTATACATATGAAGCAATCTCAGTTTACTGAGAGTAAACCTCCTGGTCTGACAAATCTTTCTGACAGTTTGAGTAAGATCGTTTGATAAGCAAAAACCGTCACTTTAATAACAGGGAGCAGTCAGACAGGTGTGTCCATGTGTGTGTATGAAGAGAAAATACACATGACCAGACGGGGAAAAACATGACACTGTAGGTGTGTTTTCTCTCCATCCGCGGCCGGCCTTGAAAGTAAGCGATGCCTTTATGGCGTCAAGCGGCTTTTCTTTTAACGAGCTGTGATACCGCCTCTCATCTGCTCCCAGGCATGCCGCTGCGAGCTCTTAACTGCTTTTCCCCGAAGGTGTGGCAGCTCAGAGGAGGTTTATAGGGATATCAGGATGTGCCATATTAATAAAGATCAAACCGCTGGAGTGGATCATTAACCGGGAAAGTCCGACTAAGATAGCTGGAGACACTTAGAACCAAGCACTGCATACATAACAATGGATAAGAAACTGAGAAGAGTGTGTGCAGAACAGTCATTTAGTCTAGCGTCTGTTGTTTATAGCTTGATAACACATCGGAGAGTGAGATAAACACTGTAGGTGTTTGAAGGTTCAGTTCAACCAAATTACAAAGGAGCATCTCTCACTTAACTCTAGTGGTATGTAGCCATGCAGATAGTTTTACTATTATTTAAGTAATACGTATGTTTTGAGATATTTGTCGCACAGTGCTCACCAGAGGTGTGGACATAAATTGAATGACTTTACACTCGACTTGAAAACATTTAAATACACCTGCAACCCGACTAGGATTTCAAAACCAATGACTCTTGACTCCACTTGGACTTGAACCTTTTGACTTTAAAATACTTGATACCTTCTCCCAAGCCCAAAGATTAAAAGGAATTTTATTTAAGAATTGTGTGCCATGAATCAATTTATTTTCCTTAATTTCCTGACTCAGTTTACATTAACGCTCTTCATTCCCAGCAAGTTGATGCTTAATTTCCCAAGATCCAGTCAATTTGCAGGAGAGAACCATGAAGAACTAATACATGTTAGTGCCAGTACGATCAAATGTACTATATATACACTATATACCAAATATAATTTTGTTTGTTAGTTTGTTCTATTGTTATAATGGAATGGCATTACATTTGCATACAGCGCACTGTGTCTTATTTAGCACTCTAAACTCAGACTTTAGGACTTGGGAGTTGCCTGTCCTGACTTGGAACTTCAGTCCAAAGATTTACTTGTTACTTGCAAAACAATGACTAGGTCCCACCTTTGGCGCACACAGCCCTAAAAAATACAAAATATCGTGTTTATACTGTAGCTTTTATAGTAAAGAGGGAAGGGACACGATAATTGTTCAATTCAGTCAGCATGAATGCACGAAAAGTGACCACTACTTGTATGAAGAATTAAAAAAGAGAGCCTGAGGGAGCCGTTCAGATTCTCAATGCTTTCTTGCTGCTGTACACCTGGCCAATGGCTGCATGAAATCGGCATTGAATGTCAGACAATCTGTTACAACACAGTGTGGTGGGAGGGGGGTTCTGATGCTGTTCGACCTGTTCTGGCACCAATCTCTGTGAATATTTGTCACTTCAGTTAAAACCAGTGTAAAACATAGAAATTCAGGAACAGGAACAGTGATGCACTGTGTTTAAAAAATGGAGAAATCCTTACTGTAGTGACGAGCCAGGGTGGTCAATTTTTGTAACTTTCCAAACCCGACAATCATGCCCCCATTCAAGTGTGCAGAAGTGAAAAAGGAAGCAGCATTTGAACATGGCTGCTTCTGTCCCTTTTTGAAAGTACAAACAAGTGTGACACCATGAATGCCACTGATATAGAATTGTCCGAAAGCATGCAGCCTTTTGTATCACTCATCGTGTCTCGTCCCTCACTATGACGGCAGCTTTTAGCTCAGCCTTCAGAACGGAGGTACACTTTTACTTTTAGACTTGATTGGATAAATTAATTCATTTCAAGAATACCCCGGCCTTTATGGGACCAAACTTTACTGTCAATAATCCATAGACCATACGGTGAACAGTTTTCATTGGAACCACTTTCTACTGAATGTTATGAGTCCATTGAAATTCTATTGACCTCTATAGTTTTTGCATGAATAGAGTCTATGAGCATTACTAAATATTACCAGAGGTAAGTAAAGAAAAAAAAAATTATTTTTGAAGTTTTGAAAAAAATGGTTCTCTCCCAGCAAAAGATATATATGACACAGTGGTTTTGTTTTTGGTATTCATACATCTATGCCGCCAATGTTTAGAACAAGAGAAAAATCTGTCTGAGTTTGCTGGAAGCTTGTCTTTCCTCTCTCTCTCTCTCTCTCTCTCTCTGTCTTTCTGTCTCTCTGTCTCCAGAACAATGTTTGCACCTGGCACGCTTCTGTAGACAGGTGCTCCTCTAGGGTTTTGTTGCTCCATTTTTTTTGCCATTATTTGCCCAGAGATTAAGAGCCATAATTGGAACTAATACACTACATTACTCATATCTGTGCACACATACTCAAGTACAAAGGACAAATGCATGTAAGTGTGTGCAAGAGGCTCACACTTATGTACACACGTGCACAGGCGCACGCGTCCGTCTGCCTGCACCACGATGCAAACACACAATTGCTTCCTCTCCCTTTAGCTTGACGCTGTGTCCTGTATGGTTTTGTCAGGTGTTTTGAGGCCCCTCACAGCTGGCAGCATCTCTGAAAGGTGTGACTCTCCGGGGAAAGTCCATGAAAACAAATCGGTGAGTGCCGCTGCCCCTTGTGAACTCGCTTTTCACTCTCTACCCCCCTCCTCCGGTCATCTATCAGATTTCCTCCTAAAGCAGGACTGCGCCTTGTCGTGAGCAAACACTAGACCTTCAAGAATCAACTCAGATCAGACAATAACCCCAAACCTGGCACACATAGTCTCCCTCCCACACAAAGACCCCCTTTTACAAACTTGAACTGGCATGTATTTATAACTGTCATTCCAGTAAGACAAGCCAAATTGTTGTTGATAATTGAGACACAATATAACAGAGGGCACGCGGCGTGCAGCAGGTGTGTGGTTAATCAGTCACGGGCTGCAGGAGGGGGGAGGCCTGACTGTACGGGAGCAGGCAGGCTTTTACACCAGCTCATTGCTCTGTCGCAGGGGGGTACGCTCAGCTAAACGCCCAACACTGTGGGATTCTTTTAGAGGATGCACCAGCACTAGGATCAGACAGGGGTTGAGGGGTGAGGGGTCAGGGGGGTAAACAGGGCTTGTGCATGCTAGGCTGCAGTGGAATGGGCGCAGGTGCTCCACGTGATCTACGATTAATCTCCCCTTTATGACGGATGAGAGAGAGCCCCTGAAAAGCATGAATGAGAGTCATAAGCCCCTTGCAATTATGCCAAACCACAATGACGAGCTGGAGTGCTCGGAGCAGGATTCATACGATCATTTGCATTATGCACCTCACTGAACCAAGTATCCACACACTGGATTACGGTATTTAAAAAAAAAGAGTAACTGATAAACTAGTGGTATGTTTTGAGCTGGGAAGTGGGAGGAGCTGCTGCTCTGGGTTGGGAATGTTTTTTTAATCAATGTAAATTCCCATATGAAAGTTTTCTTTTAGGGGTATCTCCAATTTTCAAACATTGAAACTTAGGAGTTTTAGAGGTATTGTTTTTTATTTTGGAAAAAATGTCAGATGAGAAGATTGATACCAGGCTAATTAAATTCCTGGCGTGAGGTTGCCAGGCAACCAGCGAAGTCAATGCCAGCTTAGAAAAAGTCTGAAACATAACCACAACTTCTTTTCAGTCGGATTATTCAATCAAGATTGTTAACTAGTGAGCTTTTAGAGGTGCCGGTGGGCGGATTTTGACACTTTCAGCCAAGCTAGCCTTATTCTTTATTATTAGTTTCCAGTCTTTACGCTAAGCTAAGCTAACCAGCTGTTGGTTAGCTTCATATTTGCTGCACAGAAAAAGTAGTATTAGTCTCATATAATTCTAATTCAATACAGTTTCTTATCCAGATCTGGATATTCTTCAGGAGCATTTTCGATTTCATATTAGTTCAGGTCGACGACTAAAAGGAGCAGTTTTTAAGCTCTTGTCATATGGAAATCAATTCGCACTATAGTTTCATCACAGGTTCTGATCTCGGCATGCTGCAGGTATCATGATACAACTAGTTCCCATCTAAACCTCTGAAATGCTCCAATTGCTAATGACCTAACATATGCAGAAAATAAGCTGGACTTCATTTCCAGAACTCTTGATACCCCAAAATAATTCTTGACTTTGTAACTAATGGAAGACCAACTTTGTCGCATTATGCTTAGGTAAAGGTTTATTCTGTCTTCTGTTTCCTTGCAGGATCAGTCCGAAGGAGGTTCAGGGTCACCGTCTTCATGGATCATAGACCAGAGTCCATCATACGACATGTTCAGATCTGCCTATTCCCCCTGCAAGTCCAATCACAGTACTGTATCCCTTCAATGTACTCAGACTATGATTATTTCTCTTGATCTGTGTGTGCTGTTATGGCATATCACCTCTTTGTTAAAACTGGCGCTCTCTCTTAAGAGCCTATAACAACAATACTTAATCAATACAAGAGCCCGTCTTCACCATTAGCGTCTGATCCGGTAAAAGCCCACTCAGTCTCTGTCAGCTCTGGTTTATTAGGAGCCATTGTCTCCTCACTGTCAGCGCTGTGTTTGGCGTTCCCTTGCCTCCGGTACACTTAAGCCCGCTAATCCTGGCTAGGGCCAGCTGGCTCCAAGTATCACCTTCACCTGTGTGGCCGGCTTGTGTACATTCATGAATGATGGTTCATAGGCAGCGTTTACTGTAAGGGCCACAAAGACTGGAAAACTGGCAGCGCAGGACAGGAAGAAGGTCAGGAGTACTGTCACTACATGGAAATGGACAGCCACCCTTGAGCTAATAGCTGGCTCTTTTTCCTCCCATCTTCATTTGATGTGTCAGCTCATGCAGTTTTATTTCTCGCTGGTGACTTCAGTCCAGTATCAGTCATTGTTCTCTGACACTAATGGTCCATGATGTGCTGTGTTCCTAGAGGATTTTTGGAAATGCATCCATCATATCAGAGATTGATATGTCTGAGGGCCAAGCTGCAACTAACCGTTTAGACCAAAGGCTCAGGGATATATCTTTCTAATCCAACACTGATGTCAAGTGCCAAGGCTGCTAAGCTTAAAACACTCAGTGTGTGCGGCGTTGTTGATGAAATGCATCTAGGAGTGGAGGAGGGTGGAACTATAGATCAAGCTGGGCTGCGACCATCTATCTTTGAAACATTTCGACATCAGTTTTCACAAAACTTGCAGGGATAATGATTGTGTTGGCATTAGCCTGAGTTAAGACATCAGTGTGCTTCGAACTAAATTGCTTCTCAGTTGTCGAACACTCCTTCCCCTCCACAACTTTCCATCTACAGATAACGTGTGCTGTTATCTACATTTGTACGGTTGGTTGCATCCTGCCTTTCTATATGACAGCCAGTTTTCTCCCCACCTTTAAGCTTGCCTATTTAAAATGGCTTTAAAAACTTTTACCTATTTGCAAGGACACTTCATACAACCTGTGATGGAGGAAATATTTAGATCCTTTACTTAAGTAAAAGTACCAATACTACACTGTAAAAATAATCAGTCCTATGTTGATAATTTTACCTAAGAAAAAGTATGTAAGTACTTTAAAAGTTAAAGTACTCAATGTAGGAAAATGTCTATTATATATTATATCATTAGATTATTATTACTCATGCAGTAATATAAAAGAAGGATTTCACTGTTGTATTTGGTGGAAGTGGAGCTCAATTTTAACTATTTTGTACAGAATTACAACTAATGATTCATCTGCTGGTTATTTTCTCCATTAGTCAATTGAAAATAATTAAAATAATAATAAGAAAAATCAGCAAATCTTCTTATTTTATAACCATCAAATGTTTTTTGCATGAAAAATGGCTGAACAACTGTTGGTTGGTTTAATTAATAACAAAACCCCATATTTTATAGGATCTATATATATATATATATATATATGCAAAAATCTTAAAATATAAAGTAATTAAAGCTGTCAGATAAGTTGGCTGATGGCATCATTACATCACAGGAAATGATTTTTTTTAACGGCTGCCAAAAGATGAGCTCAACCAATTCTTCGTGTTCGCTAGTCACATGATTTACTACTCATCCTGTGAATGTTTTTTTCTTCTGTGGTTCTGGAGGAGCTTTTTAAAGTATTACAAAATAACCCCGAATGTTGGAAACTTGGAAACTTTAAAGGACAGCCTGCATTTTAAAGCACGGGCTTTAATAAGACCGTGGTGGTCCAAGGAAAACACTAGCGCAGATTAAGGAAATGCTATCAAGTTGCATTATGGGACTCTGTAGGATCCTGCAGAGTGTGAGCCACAGTAGGGACTAAGAGTCAGGATATCTTGGCCATTTTTTAACACTATGTCTGTCTAAAGATCCCCAACTTTATGGACGTATGAAGCTTCTAATGGAATTCAGAGTTGGTCTAAGGCCCTAGTACATATAGACATTTATTTAGACATCAATATATGGAGATATTTACTATTTAATTACCTAAGAAAGTTGTCAGAGCACCCAGAAGTTTTGAGCTACATTTCTCTGGACCTTACTTGAATCTTGTCTGTGTTTCTGACAGGGAAGAGTGACCTTTATATGTTTTAAGAGCCTTTTTCATACAGAATGATTGATTTATTAGCTTGTTAAATTTATACAACGGGCATTCATTGTCATAGCAGACAATGACTGAAATTCCCCACAGCTTTAAAATGCAGCTTTTCTAGCTCTTTTAAAACAAGTCTTTAACTGTTTAACTACCCTATAAGAATTAAACAAACTCGACGCATGAAGAAAGATGTCACCCAGAGGATCCTGGTGATGGCTTGTGTGCTTTGACCTTTTAGAGGCCAAAGGCATGGTCACTCTGGGGAAGAAGGAAGGGAGGAGGAGGGGGTCATCACCAGGGCGTGGAGGGGTCACTCCTGAGGTCACACAGTCTCTAAAAGATGCCCAGTGTGTGGCATGTCTTTGTGTGGATAGGTGAAATTCGGTTACCCTGGAGGTGAAAGCAGTTCAACCTTTGAATAGGGCTTCCAAGTAATGGAGGGAATGACCCTGTTACGACTCAATGTATATGAGACAGTTAAGATAATGGGCTTGTGACTCCATCCATCCGACCAACTGCTGATTTAGATCCATCAGAATCGTATGCCACCAAGCTTATCAATTACTTTTATCAATGCCAGCAACAACTATAACTACTCTTTTTCTACACTGTGTTCAGACTCAGAGATAATAAAACAGTTCTGTTGACAATCAAAACCTGTGCTATTGCCTCATAAAAAGTAGACTGGTAGAGGTCAGAGGTTCCCGCAAATGTGTGCAAACAGTTGATAGGAAGAGAGAAGGTTTCGATATATTGTTTGGCTGACATAAAAATGTTCACTGTTACCATTTTATAATGTAATAAATTATAACTGCTTTGATATTCTGGGCTTTTGGAAACAAACAATTTGAAATTGTCACCATCATTTTTCACTCTTTTCTGAAATAATGTGCCTGAAATCGATTAAAGGGGTGCTGCTGTGATTTAGTACTGCACGTCCATTAGTTGGGCAACTCACAAAAAGTGAGAATGTCAAAATGATACTAGGGACTTTTAGCAAACTCCATAAAACACTGCATTTCCCATAATGCAACTGAATGTTGATATTGTCATTAATTAAAATAACCCTTTTTTTTTATTATTGGAAAGCTTCTCCAGAGCCACACAGAAGACATTATATAATGGGTTTTCACAGGTTGAACAGTGCACCTCATGATGAGCAAACTTAACTTCATGTTTATAATAAGTGGAACTGCCCTTTAATTTTTTTTTATTAGTGATTACTTTTTTCTATTTAATGCAATTTTTCACGATGCCCGTTCCACATCATTGAATTGTCCACCTGACTCTGGATCAATGACTGTGGTTGAGCAATTCTGAGATTAAACTGAAGCCAGAAATCAGCTGCGATAAATGCTCCTGCTCCCCAGTGAGGCTCATGATAAGACCTTTGTCCATTTTTGCTCATCAGGAATTCATAGGTAGAATAATCCCTCCCCTCATAATTGTTTCATGACTGTTTCCCCGCTGCCCAGGTCACTCTGCGCTAACTCCAGTGTTTAGCATTCAGCTGCTACTAAAGATGTTAGCATCCAAATGAATGTAGCGATGTGCAGGGCCACAAAGAGCACTAATCTGAACTGACCCTGGTGGATTGTTCCAGAAAGCTGAGGAAGCTACGGGACAGATTAGGCTCCAGAAAGACAGAGATGGTGCAAGCAGAGATTAGTGCTGTACTAAGCAAGGATCGTTTCCCCCCCAGAGGACCACACACTGACAGTGTAGCCATGTCACCATTGTTTCTAAGCCACCGCCACTGTGGACTCGTTGGCTATTGTCTTCGAAATCCTCCAGCGTTTCCCCAAAAACCTGGACTCAAGCCCTTTGATTGGCACTTGTCAGGGCTGATAGAGAGGGTGACATGTTGGGAAAGGCTTCGATAAAGGAGCCCTGAAAGGAAAATCCCCTCCCCATGAATAATAAATTGGCGAGGATTTTCCTTTTTACTCCACCCCGCTCCTATTCTGCCATTCTTTCAGGAGATAGAGGAGTGAAGGCTCTGGGTGGCATCAGTGAATAGCCTCGGCACGCTGATTGTCTCGCTGATGCTCATCCCTTTCTCAAACATGCAATGAAAGAGATACAAGTCCAACCTTCTTGCCTCTGCCTGGTGCGCTGGATGGTAAAGGGCAGGGAGTGTGTGTTGGAGAGAGTCGGACGAAGGGTGGGCGGTGTGTGTGTGTTTATTGTCTTCAGTGGCCTTTTTCGGAATCCGCGAGGGGATTTGACTCGGCCGTTCGCAGCCAAATCCAGCTATCTGCTGTGTTCAGATGCTGTGGTTGGTATGGTAACCTGCTCTGTGTGTTTTAGATGTGCTCTTGTTTCCAGCTTGAACTGACCAGTAATCACTACTGTGCATTCATGGATTAGGCCATGTTGGAGGTTAGGATAGGAGGGTTTCAAAAGGAGGAAACCAAATCCTGAATAATTTTAGAGCCCCGCTTTAAAGATTGTACCTTACAGAAACTGTCTGGACTCGTAGATTTTAACCAGTTCTGAAAGAAATCAGTTAACTGATCATCATTAGGGTCATTTTAGCAAGGAAAAAAGCTAAACATTTGATGTAACCAGCTTCTTAAACGTGAGGATTTTGTTGGTTTTCTCACTTTTATCACGGTAAAATGAATAACTTTGGATTTTGAGTCTTTTGATCTGACAAAACAAGCAATTTGAAGACGTCACTTCCATACAGTGGCCTTGAGAGCTCAACACACAACAGATATAGAAAACAGATGCACATAAAAAACATAAAAGCAAACAACTAATTTGGCAAATGTGCAACATAACAAGAAAGTTGCTGCAAATACAGAAAAACAAACACAGAAATGTTGCAAGTTGCACAAACAATATGGACCCAAGTTATATAATAAAGTCCAAAGGACTTATTAACACGTCATGGCTGTGGCTCTCGGAGTTCATGTCCATGACTAAGCAGGATACAGGCTTTGTTAGTCTGTAACCTACTCTACATCTTTATTAACAATGAGAAAACTTGCTCCTGGAATAGTTTAATTGATGATTTTTCAGTCCTCTTCGACCTACTTTATTATATATAAACCAACTATCCAGAAAAAAAGGTAAGAAATTAAAAAAGGCGGTGACGTTAGTTTTCTAAATTTTATTCAAGTTATGTATTCCTCTGGCGCTGCTGTTTCTTATTTAGGTGTGCAGTGTTTTTTTTTCAATTGTTTGAATATAGCAGATATAGCATATATATAATTAAAGAATATCTTTAATTCCTGACTTTGATTGTGTTGTCGTATTTGTTATGCTGCTTGTGCGTTGTAAAATTGGTGAATGTGGTTCTGAATTTGCCCATTTATTTCTTCGTAGTTGTTATGTTATGTTGAATCGATGAAGATATTTTTTGTCCCTTGGTCTGTGATGATTTTATTTTGTACATTTGGTGCAAGCAGAGATTGGATTTTATACTTTATTTAGATATATTATAGATTTAGCAAGTCTTTGAGTAATTGTAACATTAAACAATAAATCAAAATACCGTGAAAATAAATGCAGATTTTAATGTAGGTTAGGTGTGATGTATTAAATTGAAAAGTTTTAGATTTTTGAAAACTCTTCACATTCATCATGAGGATATCCAGACATTTGGTTTATGTTGCATATGAAAGAAATGATGAATCCATTTCTCATGCCGTCGTCTGTTTTTGGTGACATTGAGACTTGAACAGGACACGGAGGCTGATGGGAGCGTGTGATTGTGTGCAGTGTGGTGGAAGACAGCCTGTCAAATGAGACACGGCTCCATCAATCTGGGCTGCTGACCTCTGCACGCTCACTGACTGGATAAATGAATGCACAACACCGCGTTTGAAAGGCTTGATGAATCTGCTCGACTGGTCAAGCTTTCCCCCTCCTAACGAACAGAACCATCTCCGAATCTATCACATTTGAATCATCGCTCATGCGCTATAAGTAACACTCTTGTTTGCAGAAGTAGTGGGAAGAAAAGAGTCTGAAACTGTTGCAAAAGACAATCAGAGCTCTCTTTAAGCTCAAGTCTGCATTGACGGTACTCTTTGTCTCTTCTCTGCTACACCAAGAAGTGTATTCTGAGGACTTTATGTTCACAGATAATGGGACTCTTAATTGGCTGGTCAGTGACAAAATGGGTGGCTGTTTAAGTTTCAGAGAGAGTGTGCGTTCCTTAGAGAGACTCTGAAAGGACTGAAGGGAGATGTGACTGTGGCATTTAGGAGAACAATGTGATGAGAATTAGTGTTTATTAAAGGAACAGGAATGGGTTTTAGTGCTTTTTACTAAGTGGCTACTTCCACTTAGATGACCATGAATATAGATGTGGTTTCTCTTGTTCAGGACTGTGGTCATTAGTGTTTATATTTAAAAAGTTAACCCTTCTACTAAGTTATAAATACATTTCAGGCAGAACTAAAGACTACTATGCATCATTTTATGTCACATTTCTCTACTCCAGGTTCCAGCACAGATGAAAGGGGCCCCAATCATCCAGGATGGAGGGACCAAGTGGAGTCCTCGACTGGAGGAAGGAGGCCCGGGAGTGTTGACCGCAGCACTGGGGAGAAGGAGAGAAGGATGGAGGAGAGGAAAACAAAGGTGCTGCACATACTTACCAAACTGCAGGACGACACGCCTCGTCAGCCAAATGGCAACAAAGGGTGCTCCAACTTTGAGGACTGTGAGTTTATCATCTAATGGATATAAGATGTTATGCCTTAAAACAAAACTTTGGCCATTTTCAACCCAAACCTATTCCATCGTATACCTTTGCTAAAAATCTTACCTCATTGTAGAGCAACAGCATAAATAGTGTCACAGCTGTCCAATACAGTCTGAACAGCTTAAAGGTCTCATACTGAGCTCACTTTGTAATGAGACTCATATATACACGCACACATATATTTTTATGTGTCCATCTGCTGATAACTTTCAGTATTTGGGCACAGAACTTTCATCACGCACTCATAGGGACAGCAAGGATTTAATAAGGAGAAGAATACGTTTTTTTTAATCAAAATTCTTTATTTAGTGGAGCAGAAACACCTGAGAACAGATTGATTTCTTCTGGTAAATAAGTATTGTAACACACAGTGAAACATGGAATTGAGTTTTCAGCACTTCCAACATTGTGGCAGCGCCAAAAGGCATAAAAACTGTAGGAGAAAGGGATGGAAAATGTTCATCTACATACTTATTTTGACATGTTGATGGGAAAATACTCCAATAGCAGATAATAACTTATAGTTACATTGTATAGTATACATTAAAAGAGTTTAAATTTCTCTTTTAATGTCTTATACTACTTTAACAACACCTCTGCTCTCATTCATGCATCCTTGGGCGGACTAAACCTATTAATGACCTCCTGTTTCCGATCAACATATCTAACCTCTAGCCAAACCTGGTCCTCGCTACCCTCTTAATACTCCTGACAGACACAATTAGCCAATAAAATCAAGGTAAAAATATGTAAACTTCCACATTAGTTGCAGTTCATAAGTCTTTTTACCTGCAGTTTTTCCAGTCCTGCAGCCACAGGTGCCCCAAATTATGATACTGTAAGGTCATCAATCCACCCTCTGGTCTACATATTTCCTGTCTAATTACAGCGCGAGAGATTTGTTTGTTGTAAAAAATGAATGTTTTGAAGGTTTGTGGAATTGATTACTATCTATTGGCATATTAAGACTCAATAGGAGACTCTGTAGGGAAACAGCAGAGGAGATTTTGGTCAGAATGAATCATTATAAGTTTGAAATGGAAGGTTTTTCATCTCAGCAGTGTTTAAAGACCGAATCTATCTCTGCCTGCCAAAACTCTTCTTTGCCTCCTGTTCACACAATGGCCGTGCAGAAAAAACACCAACACCCGACACATTTACCAACACTCCTCTCGACTCGAAAAAATTTCCCATCAATTACAGCACTTGATTTTTAGAATTACCTTTTTTAGTGAACAGGAGTTTGGCCAGGAGTTCTCCAGTTTTCCCTCAAGTGCCTAATTTCTGGCATCCAAGCCTTTGTGAGAGCGCTGGAGCCAACGGGTCCCACAATAAGCATCCACACCTAAGGTCAAGGCTGAGGGGCCGGCCCTCTGCAGAGGTCAGTCAGGTCAGAGTTCTCCAGTGAGTGCTGGCACCCATGAATGGGACTGATTGGACAGGTTTGTTCAGACGGTAATCAAGCAGGATGAAGAACCCCCGGCAGCTGGCCTCACTATTCTGCAGCAAGGTTATTAGAGATGAAAAGCTTTTGTTGTGTTACAGGAGTGTAGACTTCGGTTTATGTGTGCCTGCTATTATAATTCAGAGCTTTATGTATATGACAGTTTTGCACAATGATTGGGTTGTCTTTGCTTCCTTAAGGGGCATTTGTAGTGTGAGGATTCATTTTGCGATAAGGTTAAGGCCAAAGTTATTGACTCTACTTTTACAGAAATCTCATAAAACGCTCCGATTATGTATCAGAATCCCTCTAACGCTACATTTACATCAGCTTTTTTTTAAATTATTTTTCACGCACCCGCCTCATGAAATAGACAAGAACATTTTTGTGTCTATTATCCAATTTTCACCCATTTTAACCAAGGCAGCAGGAAGGTATAAAGGTATACATTTTAATTTGTCTAGTACTTTCATTTATGACCAAATCCCTGCAAATAATGACACTCCCGTCAGCCTCAGCAGTGCTTTGTGTTGAGTACTAATTAGCAAATATTAGCACGCTAACACACTGAACTAGCACAGTGGACATGGTAAACATTACAATGTTAGCGTTGTCTTTGCAAGCATGTTAGCCATGTTAGCATTTAGCTCAACTCACCGCTGATTGTTTGATTAGCGCTAGCAAGAACAATTGCTGAAATACTTACGTACAAGTACGGTCTGACAATTAATTAATCAATCAATTACGGCAATTGTCTTATACATAATCACATACCACATGTTAATAGCCTATAATACAATATTTTTCCATATCTTACACCCTTTTTTTATATTTATCATTAACAAACTTTGCTACTAAGGTTAAGAATTGATTCAGGTTCAGGTTAAAGTTAGATTTAAAGGACACTAGACGTATAATTATGTGTCAGTGTGTGTTTGTGTGTGTGTGTTTGGTATTCTTTAGAGAAATACACTCTGTACTCGTCATGTTTATGTTTATGGGTGTCTTTTGTTTACAAAGTGTGTCCTGGTACAATCTGTCATTTTTCATGCCTGAATATTTGCCAGGGTCCTTTTTGTTTTGTCGTGTGTGTCCTTGCACATACACACACGTTTTTGTGTGTGTGTGTGTGTGTGTGTGTGTGTGTTGACTATAGCTCTTGTCCAGACACTTGTAACTGTGGCTCCTCATTAGGCTCTGAAAGAGTCTCGCTGGTCATAATTGTCTCTTTTCGGTTCAACGCTGACCACTTGCCAAAAGATTCCCAAAATAGAGAACCCCCCCCCCCCCCCCCCACACACAGACACACAGACACAGGCACACACAGACACACACCCACCTATAACTTTCTGTACTCTGCCACCATTCATCCATTCAACTCTGTGACCCTCCAGGTTGTCATCAGTCAGCGGTCGCTGCCATGTGGCTCGTGTTTGGAGTTATAAGAGAATAGAGGAGAATAAGAGAACAACAACCACAAAGAGCAGATGTAATTATGCTCTCAGTATGACGCGAGTCGTGTCAGACCTGCTCCCATTGTAGATGTATAACACCTCATGCTGACTACATCAATCAGTTGGTACACAACAGAATAAAAGTGTTTTTTTAATCTTTAAACGCTGCCACACTAATGATTTTTAATGGCACATTTTGTGAAACCCAAGAGATAAGGCATATTGGCAATGTTCAGTTCAATATTACTGTATCTATAGAGGGACAATAATTCTCATAAATTAGACATGGTGGTTCCCTGTTGTCATGGCTACATTTTAAAAATCGGACACAGCATGGGGTCGGAAATCACAGGACATGGAAAAGATCAGAGGCACGTTTGAGCTTAATCGTTTACCACGTTTATAGTTTAAAGCGACTATAATCAGAATCAATATATATTAAAAATGAATCACATGACAACCCGGCTCTGCACCTTCCCTCGTCTTTACAGACCTGTTTAGCGTCTTTCAGGTCATTGTTTTGGTTTCCCCGTTTCCCCACAACTGAACTGTTTTGGTTCAGTGTCACCACTTTCATTTTCAGCTACCGCAGCTGTTTAAATAAAAGAGCTCGAAAACCCATTGTACACGACCTGCCCAGCAGTTAGCAACTAGCTTGTGAACATAGTGGAGCATTTAGCCGCTGCAAGAGCCAGATATTGCCCCCAGGAGTTGGTGGAGACCAAAAACAGAGCTACAAGAGAGTAAATATTGGACTTATATTCATCCGGTCGTCTGAAACAGGACTCTAAATGACTAATAATGTTGCTCCATAACTGCTGATTGTATAAATAAGCAACTATTTGCCAACAAGTTCACCATATCAATGTTTTTTGGTGCCACCAAGAAGGCAAAAACTCTAATATAGGAGGAAATATTATAGTGGTTGCTTTTACAAGTGAAAAAACAATACCTTACTGAACAATAGGAACGGGTTGAGTTGCATTAAAGAGACAAGTACCTATAGAAGGTATTCATACATGCTTTTTCTGGAGTTTTATAATTTGTGTCTGTGGTGAACAACCCAGGCTGAACAGACTGTAAGTGGATGGAGAACAGGGTGACACCGATGTCAAGTAGCTGTGGTCTCCTTTGTGTTTCCACAGAGAAGCAGCTGAGTGTGGTTTGAGGGACTCTGTGGGTCTCTGATGAATGTCAATGTTGATATGGAACACCTGGCGGCCTTGAAGCCAGCCTTGCTTTGACCCCACACACCACCGCCACCACCACCTCTAGCCTATATTACTGTCTGCTACGCGTGGGCGGAGATCAGGCCTAATTTTTGTTGAACAACAAGCAAAAAAAAAAAAGAAGAAAAATACGACCAACCAAATGAACAAGAAAGACCAGTCGCTTAAAAAGAGAGATCAAGGGAGGTTACTGCAATAGTGTGAGGTTTTTATCAGTGTGTGTGCGGGAGGATGTCCCTTGTGTGTGTTTGGGTACAGTGCCTTTATGTAACCCCTGTTTGCTCAGCCTTTGGTCTGGAATACCTCTATGTATTTACCATCAGCCTAGAATGACTGGGCAAACAAACAGCTCGCCTATTGATGAGCAGCAGCGTGGAATATGCCCGCTGCATTCACGAGAGAGAAAAAAAGGAAGGGGTAGAGGGAGAGAGAGCAAAGTAAATCTGTCAAAGAGTCTATTATATGGTGTCCAAACAGAGAGCGCTCTCCACAATGGCCTTATTAATGGCACAATGTCAAGGAGCGGCAGGGCAATAATAGCAGATGATTTTGCTTTGTGAGGCTATCTCTGGAGATCTGGTATTGCAATACAGCAAATGATTTGACTCTGGGGGATATATCAGTGTGGATCTGCGGCAGGAGCTGATTGGACGTAGGCGTGTGTGTGCGACACGCTGTGAGTGTGTGTGCAGAAAGCATAAGTTGTGGTTTGTGGTGAGGCCGATGGCGTGCAGCCAGAGACAGGAGTGTGGCCGCTACGTGTGTCTTTGTTTGTTTTCCTAGCGGAGCTTTAACCCCCTTTCAATACACAAACACACACACACACACACA